AGGGAGGGAGGGAGGGAGGGAGCGTGGGTGAGCGCTCCTGCAGCTCAGCCTAACCCTGGCCGCGTGTGGGGCCAGTTCTCGTTTGCAGAGCAATGGGAACATCCCCAGGACACCGAGGTTCTGGGAGCTCTGGACCTTGGCGGTGCCTCGACGCAGATCACCTTCCAGCCCGGGGTCCCTGTGCAGGACAGGAACACGTCCGTGTTCTTCCGGCTCTACGGCACCAACTACTCCCTGTACAGCCACAGCTACCTGTGCTACGGGCAGAGCCAGGCCCTGAAGATGCTGCTGGCAGCTCTGCACCAGGTGCCACGGGGGCTGCTCAGCCATCTCCCAGCCCCACGGCCCGTCTCCTGCAGCACGTTTGGGCGTGCCTGTGGGCAAGGAGTTGGGAATTGGCAGAGGCCTGGATTTTATCTAGGGAAGCCCAGAATTCCCTCCTTTGTGTGGAAGGTGCTGGTGCTTGCCAGCCAGGGCTCCCTTCTCCCCACATCTGGACGTGCAGTGGCGTTTCTTGTCATTTCCCGAGCCCAGCCGTATCTGTTGGGTTTTTGGTGTCCCCGTTCTCTTGCCCTTGCTCCACCTGTGGCCAGAGAGAGGTTTCCCAGCACAGTCCCTGCACAAGTGTCGGGGCCAGAGCCAGAGCCCAGTGCTGTGGGAGCCAGGGATGCTCAGGGAGCTCCAGGCTGGGATGCATCCAGTCCTCCTGGGGTGGAGGTGCTGCTCTTTGGGCTGGGCTGTGGGAAGGGTCTCGGTGGCATGGCAGCCCCATTAATGGCTCTGTCTCTCTCCAGGCCAGCTCGAGTGCCCAGATCTCCCACCCCTGCTACCCGCGGGGGTACCGGGAGAACCTCACTGTGGCAGAGCTGTACGACAGCCCCTGTGTGCGTGCACCGAGCTCAGCCAGCCCTGGCCTGGTCCTGACGGTGACAGGGACAGGGGAGCCAGGCGCGTGTGGCACGGCCATCCAGAGTCTCTTCAACTTCAGCTGCGGGGCAGAGCGGCCGTGCGGGTTCAATGGGGTGTATCAGCCCCCCGTGCGGGGACAGTTCTTTGTAAGCAGCCTCTGTCCCTGCCCCTGGGGG